ATATTTTATAAAAAAAATTATATATAAATATATATATGTCATAAAATAAATTGCTTAGCAGTGTAAAAAATTTATGGGTTAGATAAAAGTTTGCTTAGCAGACATGAAAAATATTTGCTTATTGACCTTAGTAAATTTTGAATTTTTTATCTGACCTATATATATATTGTTCGGGGTCCTGCTCCAACCAGGCAAAGATCGTGAAGGGTATTGGACAAGTGAACACCTAATTAATCAAATAAAAAAACCCTTTTTTCCAATTGTATTGCATTATTTGCATTTGATAATAACTCAAACCATGCAGCATTTAAACCTGATGCTCTTGTGGCAAATAAATGAACTTAAAACCCGATGGCAAGCAACCAAAAATGAGGGATACAGTTTTTGGATTAAACAATCAGCACCAATCGATGGTAAATGAAAATGGAGAGTCTAAGGGAATGAAACAAGTTTTAATTGAATGAGGCTTATGGAGAAATGGTCTAAATGCTGATTGTCAGTTGTGTAAAGATAAAGTGGATAATGTAACCCGAATTGATTGTTGTGCCCGCCGAATTATTTCATTACAACCTGATTTTATAGAACAAAAAAGTGCATTAGAGGAAGCAATATTAGAAGCTGGGCATAAATGCATTTTTTATCCAAAGTTCCATTGTGAACTTAACTTTATTGAAAGATATTGGGGGGCAGCAAAAAGATATACTCGTGAGAATTGTGATTATTCATGGTCAAGCTTGCAACGTGTTGTTCCTGCAGCTTTAGAATCTATTGATATAAAAATGATAAGAAAATTTGCAAGGAAAATGTGGCGTTATATGGATTTATATAGAAATGGAATTACGGGTAAGTTGGTAGAATATGCAGCCAAAAAATATAAATCCCATCGCTGTATTCCTGAATATGTATTAGACGAGTTAAATAAATTTGAATAAAATTAAAAAATGCGCGTGCGCAATTTTTTTTGTCACTGAAGTCACGTGCAAATAGTATCATGTCACGTGAAAATCTACATTTAAAATTTTGAACTTTGTGGTTTATAGGTGACGCACACCATAGACAAATCAGCCCATATGTTGAGAATTTCTAATAATTTCTAATAAACCTAGTTGTATAATAATTCAACTTCTAATTTACAACCTTTTGTTCTAACTGGTTTTAGGTGAGATACTGATATTCCGCAAATTCCAGATATTGCATTTTCAATGTCTTACATATCGATTGATGGAATGTGCAATCTATTTCAAACATAAAGTAAGCTAATATCATGTAGTTAATTCTTGCTAATAGATATTATTTATCAAATGGAAAGGTATAAACAAATCTGAGCATGATGACTATTAATGGTTATTTTCACCTCTTCCGGCTCAAGAAATATCCATTTTTTTGGCCAAATACCATACCAATCTTGCCAATATCTCAAAGTCATCATCAAATCTGCATTATGATAATAACCTCCATTGTTTAAAATAATCATAACCCATTCTGGTTTCTTTTTCATAGATTCAATAACAGCATGAGGATTAGAAGCAGTGAGGTTGTGTGCTTGGATATCAAGTTCAAGAGAATTTTCCTTGCGAGTATATACTAATACTGAATGAAGAGTCCAGCCTTTTTTTCCAAAAAACTGTTCTTTTATCTCTCGTGCACTTTTAGGTAATACCTTCATTTTATAATTCACGACAATAATTGTGTGTTCAGGTATACTTTTCGTGTTTGATAAGCAAGATAGTATAGGAGGTGTTTCTGATATTCATCTAATTCATTATGCAATGTAATTGGAGTATCATTTTTCAATTGATAAAAAATTGCAAATAATTATCCACATTCAATACATTTGTGACTGTGTGATTCTGTGCAGGTACCAAAGGCGTATAGGAGACAGTGGCTAATGCATGCATTATGGGCAACAGTTCCATTCATAACAATTTCAAGCTTTTGTTCATAAGACTTTTTAAGATATCAGCGCAGGTGCTCAAGTTTATTTATATAGTCTTTCTAGATTACCATTTGTAAAATAAATCAAAACAAATAAACCAACTTGTAATATATAAATAAAATAAATTGAAAAAATTTTTACTTGAAGATTATTGTTTTGAATATTTTTTTCAATAAAATTTTTCATTTCTACAAAATCTCATATTCAAATTGAACAAAGACCACCAAGATTTTCTTGATAAATATATTGTTTTTTTTGCAAGAACGTCATAAAAGATGTTCTTTTAACACCATCTGGAAATTGGTAGCTGAATTTTTCCCACAAAGATTCTTTTGTATATTTGAGATATTTTACTGGAAGCCCAGTTTTAGTTTCTGTTTTATAGCTACTCATTATTACATTGTTTTTATCATCCAAAAATTGTTGTAACTGATCAAGTTTTTTATGCGGAATTGTAATTCGTGTAAAAATAGGTTTTTTGACACATTTAGCTTCATTACAGCAGATTGTAAAATTGTAAGACCACCCTATGATTTTCAATTTGAAAATTTGATATTTTGAATTTTTCAAGAATTAGTAAAAAAGCAAGTTTAAATACCTATTTTGGTAATAACTTTAACTCCTTAAAATTAATAAAGATTTTAAAGTAATTTATTTATATTGAATCATATGATATATTTCTATTTTTATTTAAGGAGTTGAATAAACAGATTTTTAACTTGATTTTTTACTGGTTTTTGAAAAATTCAAAATATCAAATTTTCAAATTAAAAAATCATAGGGTGGTCTTACAATTTTGCAATCTGCTGTAATCATATTTGATGAATAGATCTAATAAAAAAAAATAATCTTAGTCAAACTGAATTACTAAATTTTTATATGAAAATATTACTAACATTCAAATCTTTTTAATTCACAATATGGAAATTGTTCTGCAATAATAGACAAAATGTGCCTTTTTCCATCTTGACCTTTTTTATTTGCATTCAATGATTCATGAATACAATTCCATAGAGTTTCTGTTTGATCACAAAATTTTCTCGGTGTAGGATAAAGAAAATCAAGATCATGTAAAATTTGTAATGTCTCACGATCTTTTTCTGAATTTACCGATCTTGTCCAAAATTCAAACTGTAAATATAAATAATTCAAATTAGATAAATATTTTTTTGGTATTATTGCTTAATATTAATTAACATGTCCATTTCTTATTTCACTTTGATCTTTATTATAAGGTGTAATTTCTACACAACCCATATGCTTAAGCATTAATTTCTAGGCACAAAATTCATGTGAATTCATATGATATTCAGATCTATATAGTTGTATCAAAGATATTTGCAATTCAATAATTTCACTCTGTTGATTTTTCCAATTTTCAATAAATCCCATCCAGTTAACATCAGAAATTATTTGTTTTTTTAGATGATATTCAAAGATTTGCTGTAATAAAGGTAAATTATTTCATTCTTCTGGTGTATATGATAGACACTGATTAATGTTTGTGTATATTCATTATCAACTCCAAATAATTTGTTTGCATTAAATTTTGGTTTATAATCTACTTGAGACTACACATCTGCTGGAGTTTTTCCACAAATAATTTTTCTAAGTTTATTATCTTTGTAAACAGTAAGAATACATTTCTTAGCAGCAAAAGTTTGAACATATAAAAATAGTTTTTTATTAACATTATCAATAAAAGATTTCCCCAGCATAGTTCCATTCTTGATTATTTGAAATTCCAATTCCAAAAACTACTATCTGAAGTCATTCCACGAAAAATTCAAAAGGCTGAAATTGAACATCTTTTAGTAATTATTCTACGATAATCTCTTGGTCAAAACTAAGGTTGCCTGCCTAAACCTTTCCAAAATTCTATGATTAGTTTCTCCAAAATTTTACTATAGTTTTATTATAGTTTTGGTAAGGTTTCGGCAGTTTTGGCATTTATAATAGGTTTCGTCAGGTTTCGCTTTTTTCCAGAATTTTGCCAACTTTTTAATAAGACTTTCATATAGTTTCGGCAAAGTTTCGCCATTTTAGCATTTTGCCAACTTGCCAAAACCCCCTAGTTTCTCCAGCAACTTTAGTCAAAACCCATAACAAGTGGCCCAGAAAATTTTGTTTTTGTTCCAAAATGATGTTTATATAATGATGTAATAGCAAATGAAGAGTTTGTACATATATTACTATTTATTAACTTGTTATTTATAAAATAACAATTTGCTTGATATTTTGGACCAGGTGAAATTTCTATATCTGCACCTAAAACAATAATAAACTCATAATTATTGGAACTAATCACATTGCCTGATCATTTATATTATTTTCAGTTGCTATCCACCATTCCCGAGAAAAATGTCCATAATGTATTTCTGGAATAATTTTTCTGGTAGTAAGGAAAGTTGTATTATAACTTTTGGTTTGACTTATGCGTTTGGTCGTAATTTACACGTCTTAAAAAAAATATTTGAGTATAAAAAAAAGTGGATTCAGGTTAGACCTATTTTTTTATATGTTTATTATCTAGGCTTCATATACGCACACGAATTAAACCATCTAATTTTAAAGAAAACATTAATGTATTTTATATTTTCTATTGATAAGATTAACAGCTAATATACTTTTGCATTTTGTTTTTCTGAAAGTTAATATTTGACTGGAATAAATCAACATAAAATATAATAAATGGGAAAAAGCATATGGACTGATTTGTTTTTATTGTTTTTGTATTTGACTTAGGGTGGAGTTCACATTTAAGAACCCATATATAGCTTGGTAATCCACAGGTGATGATGACTGATGACTACCATCCAACTGGTGTCAGCAGTCAAACCTAGAATCACTACAACTGCCATTTTAATTTGAACTCAGGATAGTCTTTATCCATCAATGGAATACTAACTGGCTAGCTATAACCCCCTACTTATTCTTATATCCTTCTGTACCAACATTCACACTTCAGAACTGAACTAAGGCTCACTCAAGGTCACTACAGCCTCACGATTCCTTAGCCCCAAGGTACAGTTGTGAATCCCTCAATGGTATAGTAGTGACCATTGAGATAGAGAGAACATGAGATAGTACAAGCTGCCATCCGGTACCCGCCTAGTGATATGGATTGATTTGTTTTTACTCTGCATTAAAGAGCTATTGAATTGATTTTCATAATTTTTGTTATTCAAAATTGTTTTGTAATACCAAAAAATCATCTGATTGATGATCATTTGACTAAATAATAAGTTGAACAAAAATTTACATTTGCGAAACTTAAATTATTAAATGTAAAAGAGTTGTAAAAAAACCTATTTCACTAATAAAAAATCCATTTCTCATATATATGGAATTTTAACATATATTATTAAAAAGTAAGTATATTTTAAAAATTTGATATTTTGAATTTTTCAAGAATTAGTAAAAAAGCAAGTTTAAATACCTATTTTGGTAATAATTTAATAACTTTAACTCCATAAAATTAATATAGATTTTAAAGTAATTTATTTATATTGAATCATATGATATATTTATATTTTTATTTAAGGAGTTGAATAAACAGGTTTTTAACTTGATTTTTTACTGGTTTTTGAAAAATTCAAAATATCAAATTTTCTAATTAAAAAATCATAGAATGGTTTACAATTTTGCAATCTGCTGTAATAAAATATTATAAAAGTATAATAAAAATATTATATAAAAGATGGTTCATAATAGATATTTTCAAACAATAAAAATAATTATTAACTTTTTAACATGCTTAAATGCAAATATTTTGGGATCTACTGATCTATTTTGTATAAATTTAGGCTTTTTGAAAAGCCCTTGATCTGGTCTATATGAACAAAAAAAGAGCTTGCCGATTGGATCACTGGATCTGGAGATATTTATGTTTAAAGTTGAGATACAAATTTTTAACATATATAGTAAGTGCTAAGAATTATATTAATTTAAAAGAAATATTTACCAAATTATAGTATAATAATATTAAATAAAAATTTTTTAATACTCATCTCCAATTTACTGTATACAGTCAACTCTCTTTATAGTCACACATTTGGGACAGTCCATATTTAGTGATTATGAGTAAACAGTCTTATGACTTTATCTTTTATTATAATTTTTAAACGAAAAGTACAATAATCAAATCAAACAATATTACAAACAAAAAATATATAAAAATAAACATAAAAAATAAAAAGAACTAGCTTCACGATTCATACAAGTAAAGAAATCTAAACAAAATAAAATTAAGTAAAGAAAAACTAAACTATTACAGAAACGCATACCCCAACTTTACCCGAAGGCCAGTGTGAGTCAACTATCCAGCATGCCCTAAGATCCAATCTGTTACTCAAAAGAAATCCTAAGTAGAGGCTGAACTGTTAAGCGGCGCCAAAAATCCAAGTGCGAGATCCAAGATCCACCACGGATTATATAAGAGTAAACCCAAGAAACCCAGGAATCCAAGGAAACTGTCGCCAGGGAAGGTGCCGAAGAATCAGGAGAATTTATAGAGGAAGGGTGAGAGATAGGAGAAGGTCCAAAGGCAGACGATTTCACTTTATTAGTGATGCCTTGAGCTAATTCCCAATGATGAAAAAAAATGGAACGGCACAACCAGATTTGAACATAAAGGTCAAAATGAAAGTTGTACAAAGGTGTATCTAAAATAGACCAAATAGTGGATGGTGAAAAATAAGTTCTAAGGAAACCAGTAAGGGACATCGGTATAAGTTCACGTGCGAGTCGCAGGCAGGAAATCGAAGGAGGATCACATTTCCAACAGTCAATAGCCGTAAATTCATCAACAAAAGAATCTGGTAAAGATATTAAAGGAGTCGCAGAAAGAAGGTTATCAAGGTATTTAGACCGAAGATCCAGTAAAAGTGTTTTGAAAGTATTAAAAAGACTAAAATCAGGTAAAATATAAGGACAAGTCCACAAGTGGTCTAGAGTTTCTGGAAAGGAGTTGCACTGAGGACAAAGCCAACTCGGATCATAAAGATGAGGCCTTCGTCTTTGAAGAGTTGTAAGTGTCGGAAGCATATCTAATAGTAATTTGATACGGAATGCACAAAATGCAGAACGGCCATTCCGATGGGAGAAAATTTGTTTATTGTTGCTAAGACAAAATTTGGTACAAGCCCAATCGATATCAAAAATAGAAGAGTTAGAATTAAATCTTGGTAATATAACAAGAGTTAAAAGACTCTTAGCGTCAAAGATATCTCTAATAAATTTTCGGATATTCATATCCACAGATAAAGAGTTAAATTGTAAAATGCAAGGGGCTATTGGTTCGGACAACAATTGAAAGGAAAGTGACGAGTCCGTATGAGCAGCTTTAGCTAATGCATCCACATGGTTATTCAAGGCATCGTCAGCATGAGCAGGAACCTTGATCAAAGTAACATCCAAATTTTTTTGTGAGACAAGATATCTCAAGGAAGACCACAAAAGGTGGTTGGATTCATTAAGCATTCGAGGAATAAAAGGAGCTTCCACATATAAAGACCACAAAGAAAGCAATAGAGCACAATCAGTGGTGACAGTAATCTTGGCATTCTGAGGAAGGGAGTCCAGTTCATGTAATAAAGCAAAAACTTCTGAACGCAATGCAGAAGGAAAAAGAGAAGGAATGGTATTATAATGAGATTCAAGAATAAACCCATCAGAATCGATAGCAGTACATGCATAAGTCATTGAAGGTGTCGAACAACTAGAGAGAGGAAGGAAAGAACCATCAACATAAAGTGTAGACACCGAAGAAGGAAGTTGAATATTAGAGATCCTAGACACTTGATTATTCTTAGGAAGTGACCGGATCAGGGCAAAAAGATGAAATAATAAAAGAGATTTGGCATAGCCTAACGAGGCGGAAAGTAAAACTGAACGAGTGTCCACATGTATATAAGTACGAGGCTTCGTAGGGTAATGGATAAGATTTGATAAAGGCACATAAGAGAAACACTCTTCAGAGGGACATCGTTTAATCAACGTTTTGGAGGTAAAGGATCGCGGAATAGCAGAAGCACAACCTTGACATGCAGTGAATTTGGACAATAAGTCATCAATAGATGACGCAAACCAATGTGAAATAAGAGCTTCATTTCGCGGAGCAGGATAGGTAATAATCAGGACCCCGGAAACTCTATATATAGGTTGCCGTTAAAATGGGTAAAGTTGTTATATAAAATCCAAAATTGTTGCTCGTTAAGTCGGGTAATTTTGCTATAAAAAAATTTTAGGGTAGTTATTAAATTGGGTAAGAATAATATTGTTGTTACATAAAATGGGTAATCGTCCTATAATCACTTTCGAGGTTGTTACTATAATGGGTAACAAACATATGTATTTTTTATAGGGGTAATATATATATATATAAATATACCTTGTAAAATCATGATAAAAAAATTTTTTTCGTCTATTCAAAAGATGCAAACCGAAAGTCCTAAAAATTTTCCTTTTATAAAGTTTTTTCTACCCGATGATAATGAATATGATTCTGAAGAAACTCTTGATTTTCTCGGGTATGATTTAGTTGAAATGTTGGATGAGATAAACGTGGAGAAAAATGAAGTAATAATAGATGAAAATAATTTACAAAAGAGAAAGAGAAAACGTAGAAAAAAAATTTTTTTACAAACAGAAATAGATGAGTTACAGAATAAATTGCATGCTAATAAATATTTTATGGAAGAAATAACACCAAAATTAGTTTGTTGTAAGTGTGGTAAAGAAATTCGTTTAGATCGAGATTTTAGAGATAAAAATCTTACAACACATGGCGAATTAAGTAATTGTAAATATAGTGGAGAAGGTCAACAAAGTATTAAAGTTTTTTTTAAACTTAAAAAGATTAGATATGAAGAGGAAAACACAATTGTCCAAAAAGTTGCGTGTAAAGGATTATATGAAGAAAAGTATTGAGAGTATGTACTTAATAGTCCTGCTGAATTTGGGGATCAGTACAGCAAACCGTGATGATCTCAAAAATTATCTACGTGCATGTGCTACATGGATATTAGATAAAACTACTATATCCATCAGAAGCAAAGCATGTGAAAATTTTACAATCCGAGAATCAGGTATTTGTGATAACTGTGACCAATTAAGAAGGGATAATCGCCTAATTAAAGCAATTAATAAGGTACGAGTTCAACCATATTATGTATTTATTATGTTTATAAATTTAATCATCTGTTTTTTTTGTATTTATAGCGGCGAGCAACTGGAAAAAATATTCGCTTTATTCCAAAATGCTATCTTGAACATCCTTTAAGCAAATTACTTCTTAATATTAATCTCAAATCATTATGGGTATTAGCTGATGAAGATAATGACAATACGGCAATTTGGACTAAATTAGCTCAATTCGGAAAAGATGGATTTTTTAAAGGAGAAAAAACATTTCAAGAATTAGTATCACTAATGATACAAATACAGGAAAAAAAATTAAGAAACAAAAAAACTACAGGTCTCCGTTATTCTGAACACTTAAAACAATTTTTTAGTTTATTATCAGAGAGCAGTCGTGAATATGAGATTTTTAGACAAATGTTTGCGGGAATGAGCGTTCGATCTATAAGATACCTGCGAGCAAAAGAAGTTGATGTTGTGACTAATCCAGAATTAATATATGAAAATATACTAAAATTTTCTCAGTTAATTAAAGCACTTAATTGGAATGGACCTGTTGTTGGAATGACAGATTGTACAAAAATTCGACCTAAACTTACTTATTCAGATGAACTAGGTGGTATTGTTGGATCTACTTTAAAATTATCAGAGACTTCGGTTCAAACATATGATGATATTCATAATGTTATAAATTATATAAAACAAAAAAAAGCTATTGCAACTCAAGTTAAAGTAATAGTATTAAAGGTATGAATTAAATATAATATAAAAATTAATTAAAAAATTATTTACATTTTAAGTATTTTTTTAGATTCCAATTGAAAAAATTCCGCCTCTTGTAATTTCTATGTTACCAACAAATGGGGGATCTAATACTGCAGAAATTTATGACCTTCTAATGAATGTAATAACCATGTCCCAAGATGCAGGTGTTAATTTAGTTAGTTTGGGATCAGATGGTGCTCCTGTTGAATATAATGCGCAACAATTAATAATGAATAGTGAAAAAGCTGAAACTTTTTTTGAATTTCATGATAATTATTATAATGTACATTTCCAGGTGATTATATTATAATAAAAGTATGATTTTAAAAGAAATTTTTATTAAATAAATTAATATGTATAGATGCCAATTTATCGAAATTTACCTATCATAACTGTACAAGATCTCAAACATGCTAAGAAAACAGCTCGTAATCAACTTCATTCAGGCACAAGACTACTTGTACTTGGGAATAATGTAATACTTTACCGACATCTCTTAACTCTTGCTCAATCTCCAGATCATGCGCTTTATATGTGGGATGTTGTTAATGTTGATAAACAGGATGATGGGGCCGCATATAGAGTATTTCATTCAGACATATTAGCACAAATATATCAAACTGGTTTAGAAAATAATGAAATGCAATCTTTATTTGTTTATCTATTTGTGTTAGGTAATAAATAATTAATGTTTATTATATAATTATTATATTTGTGTATAATAGATTTTTTATTTTTTAAATAGGAGATCTTTTTGATTCATACCTAAATTGTAATATTTCTCATAAGGAACGAATTATAATGGCCATGCGTGGATATTTTTTTTTAAATATGTGGATTGAATATATAGAAGATTCTAGTAAATTATATAATTCAATGTTTTCTATTGCCAAAAACTTTATTTCTCCACAAAGTTTTAAAATTTTTACCAATTTAGCAAAATCCTTAATACTTTTAATTATATCTCATCGTGAATTTTACTCATCATACCCTTTATATCCTTGGGAACATGGTACAGAGGCTATAGAACATGTGTTTGGTATATCTCGTCAAATAACAAATGATTTTTCCTTTTATGAATTTTTTAAAATTCAACAATGTGTTGCATACCGGGACAAAATTATTAGACAAAATATGCAAATTCAAAAGGAAAAAACATCAGCATCAGGTAAATTAATAAACATTGTATTTCAAATTTTTATATAAATATAATTAACTTATTTGGTTTATTAATTATTTATTAAAATATATATTTGATTTTGATCCAAATTTTAAATCAAATGAAAATATTGATATTTTACGAATATGGCCAAATGATAATGCTATTCATGATGCAATCAAAATAGCATATGAAGATGCGGCTAAATTTATTAAAGTATTAGGAATTAAACTATTAAATGATAAGTCAATTCCACGCTTTTATGGTTTAACATCACATCAATCAATGGCAATTTCTAATTATTTAAATATTAGTTCTGATAATTCAGATGATATAAATGATATCAGTGGATTTGATTTCAATAATGATGAATCTGATTTAAATGAAGATTATTCTTTATCTAATTCAGCTTTAGAAGTAGCACAATTATCACAATTAGCAGATTTTGAGCAACAAACAAATGAACCAGAACAAGAGCATAAGCTTTCAGATTTATCAAAAATAGAATTGGATTATATTCTAAATACTTCAAAAAAATATTTTCCGTTGATTGAATTAGAATAAAATGAATTGTTTTATATAGATGGTTCAATGAATATATCACAAATAATTCAAATTCGTGCATCTCATAATGCATTTTCACGATCTGAACGACCTTGCCAAAATCGTCAATTAAATGCAATTCGATCATCCAATAATCAGGCAAAATTAAAACAAAATTCAGCAAATTTATTAGTTTCAGAATTTTTCCGAAATGATAGTACTTTTGAATTAATAAATAGATCACGAAAAGAAAGATGGATGGGAAGAAAAAAACTTGAGAATATTGGATTACCCCAACATGTTAAAGGTAAAGGCATTATTTTAATTTTTTAATTTTTATTTATTATATTTATTTATTATTCTAAATAATAGCTTCAAATATTTCCTATGCAAATGTAACCGATAATAATCCATTACAAGAAAATAATTTTATTTTATATATATCAAAAGAAGAGATATTACTAGGAAAAGTATTGTCAATATATAAATTAGTATCTAAGCGACATGCTTATATTTCTTTTTCAAAAGATATAGATTCTTTATCTTATATTTCAGTTGCCACATATATTAATATTGATGGCAATTTATTTTCTCCAGCAAGTAAAACGGGAGGCAATTTATTTGCACATATAACTCCAAAACAAGTTATTTATCACTTTGATAATAGCTCGGATGTAATTTACACTAATTCAACAGTTGTTAATCTAATTGGTCGTTTATGTTTAATAGGAAATTCTTGGGAAATTTTTGATTTTTTTCACAAAAACATATAGTTAATATTTTGGTATCAATTCTGGATTAAAAAAAACACGTTATTTGTATGATATATCGCATTTTATTAATAAATTACTTATATAAAATTATAATAGGTTGTTTTTATTTTGGGTAATATATATTAGAAAAATATTTCAGGTTATTTCTAAATTGGGTAATGATACTAGTAAATTTTCGGCTTAAACTGGGTAAAGATAATAGTAAATTTCTCAAAATTTAGACCAACCTTTATATAGAGTTTCCGGGGTCCTTAATAATCACACGGCCAACAAGGAAAGAGTTAGTATTGCGATTAAAAGAAATAGCCCATTGAGGATTAAACAAATAATTTCGACTAATATCTATAAAAGAGATAGAAGCTACAGTATGGGAATTAGGTATTCTAAATTGCGGTAAAACAAAAAAAGAAGAATTAGAAATAACAACAAAATTAAATAAATAATTAAACCAAGCAGGCACAGATCCTTTGTTCGAAACTCGTTTAAGAAAGCGTAAGTCTTTCCATGACAACAGTCGCGAGCTACACGGAGTAACCAATTGAGCAAGAAAATGAGTGCCAAAATTTTTTCGAACATTTTTCATAGAAGTAAATAATTCTTTTGGTAAAATAGACCGGAGTGGAATCGCTGGATGTAGATCTTTCCTCGGAGGTCGGAACAATAATGACCACGTGAAATTCAATCGAGAAGAGAACAATAAAGAATTGAATAAAGAATGTGTTCGAAGGGAAAAGGTATGAGACCATGATTCCAAATCAATAGTAGAAGGACAGGCGTCACAATCCAGGAAGCCTTGGAGATAAGTAATCATATAATTGGCAAAAAGTTTATATGAAGGGTGAGAAAAAATTTTCTGCCATGAAGCCACATGAGATGATAAAAATCGACCAAATGCTTGTTGAATAGAGAACGGCAACAATGTAAAAAGTGCGGAAAGAGGTGTGACTGAGACAAAACCAGCCTTCTGTCGAATAAGGGAAAGCATTGGAGAGACCATGCGATTAATGGTAGATTCAGCAAAAAGTGTGGTTTGTAGGCGAAATTCCAATCTCAGAAGTAATACAATATTATAAAGATAAGCCACGTGTTGTGCCAAGAGTTTCTTAGGACTGAGTAGAGCGGCCATATCCTTAACCATGGAAGTGGTTTGGTTGTGAACAAAGCGAGAAGAAGCCGAAAGACAAAACCAAACACCTAAAAAACGGAAAGATGTAGATAAAGCTAACGCTTTTAAAGTAAGAGTAGGACTTGAAATTAAGGGGGAGGGAGAAAGATCAAACATTACAGTTTGAGAAAATTGTTCAGAAGAAAGAAGGATATATTTTGCTGAATTTGCTTGAGTATTTTTTAAAGTATAAAATTCAGCAGTTATGGAAAGGCGATCTTCAATTCCTTGTTTAGATGAAGCAATCAAAGTAGAGTCATCCATAAATGTAATATGAGAAACAGGCAAATTATATTGTTCATAATCAATCGGAGAGTAATCCAATAATGCAGAGGATTTCAAAATAAACGGATCACAAGCTTCTCGATTAAGTGTTGTAAGCAAAGGATCTAAATAAATCACCCATAATAACGGAGAAATAATTTCACCCTGGTCAATACCGATTCTAACTCTATATCCAGAAGTATCACCATAATGAGTAATAATTTTATTATTACGTCTAGTGAAAAGATTAATGATAAATTTGATCAACAAAGGCGGGATATGCAAACGGATTAAAGCCAATTTAAGCATATTTAGGTCAATCGAGTCAAAGGCCTTAGAAATGTCTTGGGAAACAATCCATAACTCTTGGTCATCAGTTTTGTCAAAGCGGCGTTGATGGATAATAGCATCAAGCATTTTAATAGGAATGTCAGTGGAACCGCCTGGTAAAGCACTTGGTTATCAGCGAGGATTTTTGAAAGTCGAGTTGTAACGACCTTAACCACACATTTTCGTACAGTTTCTAACAAGGTAATAGGTCGTGTATTCTTTAATTGGGCGTCAAATTCATGAGGCTTCGGGATGGGATAGACAAGCGCTTCACGCCAATCAGCAGGAATATCGCCATGAATAAGGCAGGCATTAGCTAATACAAGGGACAGATTAAAAGCTTCTCCAGTTAAATGTTTGAGCATCTCATAAGAGATCTTAGAAGGACCAGAGGCTTTGTTATTGGGCATAGACTGGATAGTGTTTTTCCATTCGTCTTCCAGAATAGGGGACATGACCAAATTATATAAAGACAAGTCAATGTTAGAAATAGGAGCATATGCTCTTTGCCAACGTGGAGGAAATTCATCTGTGGAAGAATGCTGAACCAAAGGAGGAGTAACTGATTGGAAATGTTTGATGGCAGCTTGTTTGATATCTGAAGGATCAGTAAGTAATGTGGGTTTGGAGTCAATTACAACCAAAACTCTATCAAGAACGATAGAGCGATGGTCCACTGACAGGGCTGAAGAAATAAAAGAACCCGGTGACATAGAGAAATGTTCATCTCTAAGAGCAGTATAAAATTCAATGGAATCCACACGATGTTGATAAAATTGCGTGGAAAGATAAGCAGAGACCAAAGCTTTTGTGAACGCAAAAATTTGACAAAAACAGGAAGTGGTGATGTACTATAAATAGGTATAGTATAATCTGTTAAAAGAGATTTTAAAAGACTCAATTGTGCGGGTAAAGAGTTAATCATTTGTGAAATTTGAGCCGGGCGACTAGTCCAAGATGTAGTCAATTTAAACAATAATCTATCCAAGAATTTGTTGATAGCAATAAGCATTGTAAGCTCGGGAGAATATTTATGATGATGAGTATTGGATACATGTCGAAACGGAAGAGAATCAATGGCACCGCCAAGAATAGAACATTTAAGAGCGTGCCAAAGTTTGTCCAAAGGAAGAACGGAAAGTGAAGATATGGAAGGATGGTGTGTGGCTAAATAAAGCTCAAGACGTGAATTAACTTCATTGGAAAAGGCTTCCCAAATGTTATCCTTTAAATTTTTGTAAAGAAAAATGGTGCGTTGTTCGCTTTTTTGTTTTAATCTAACTTTAGCTAGAGTAGCGAAACAAGAGCTGAAGTCAAATGCCGTTATAAGTACATGGTGATCAGTAAATTGTTTATCATTCAACTTAGGACAAGTTTCAACATGAGAGAAAAGGCCGGGAGCAGGAAATCCAGGGGATGACCAAATATAATCAAGTCTTGAAGAACCATTTTGATGATAGAAGGTAGAACTGGGACCTGAAGTCGGAGAAATATGGGATTGATGATCTGTAAAATATCGGGAAGTGATCGCAAAAGTTTCAAATGATGTTGAGGAAGATGTGAATGTGAAAGTTCATCTGCATTAAAGTCACCAAGGATGACGACATGATAATTATTAGAGTGGGCTTTATCAAGCCATAAATTAAGTTGTGCAAAAATAGCATCACGTTCTTTATAATGAATAGAATGATAAGGAGGAATATAGACAGAAATAATAGAAATTTGAATCTCCAACACTAAAAAAACTTTTTCCCGAATACATTTTTTATGAAAATTTCTGCGTAATAATTTTTTTTTAAAAAATAATCCCCTTTATTAAATTTTATTATATAAATATAAAAATGTCTATGGATAAGAGCTGAACACCAAACGAAGAAGCTTTAGACTTCGTTTCCAAGTTTAACGAAATTTATTTTCAGACTTTTACACACCACTTAAGTTCTTTTGTACAGGACGGTTTCCTCAAGGACTTATTTGAAAAAAACCCTTCAGTACCTAAGGATAAAGCCCGGATACTGATAGAAAGGTTTGGCGACTCAGCCAACCCCACGAACTTCACTTCACAAGCTCAAGTTACGAATATACAACCCACCACTCTTTCGCTAATATTTTCTATAGCGCTATATGCTGCGTCCAAGTCTTGGGATAATTTTTCTACCCAATTCTATTGCAATTTTGGCGATACGGGTGATGATGATGACGATGACGATGATGGATCTCAGAATACTGACGATTATCTAATGGATGAGTCATATCCGCTTGATTTTGATGAAGATGATCTTATACGCCAAGGATTCCAAAAACCACCAAATCCAGTACCTATCAAGCTTCCATCAATGCCCAATATAGTAACGCTCTCTGTTGATCAAACTGTAATACCCGAAAATTCCCAGAAGAAAGATAAACAAAAGGCGCGTGTTATAGATGATAAACAAGTCGCGAACCAATCAACAAAGGCAAAACCTGATGCGAAAACATCAGCCAAAAATTCCCATAAGGGAAAGAAATCATCTGAACCGGAGGCTACACAGATACTGACAGGATACGAAGCTGTCGGAGAGGAGCAAGAGCGAATCCGAGACATAATAGTTTACGATATCCCGTATACCTGGAACCTGCAGAAAATAATAGCAGAGTTAAAATTTTGGGGGAACGCTATTAAATGTTCCGTTAAACGGCAACATAAGTATCAGACTCTTCGAGTCAAAATAGCTCTTTCCTCATTTGCCCTTCCCCAGTTTAACAAATATTGGACGACAGACCTGGGAGGTATACCCGTTAGATGGTTCCCTGCAAGTTGGACTTTACGAGAAAGAAAACAACGTGAAAAGTTCCAAGCCGTTATTCATGACATTCCGGAGGATATGACGATGGTTACCTTGTGGATGGACTGTAAACCATGTGAATTTTTAATGAAGTGCGGTGCTAGCTCATTTAAAGTTATTCAAACAAGTAAAAGAAGGAGGAAACTTGTGGCCTATTTCGAGAATTGGGAGACCACACTAAGGGCCTTAGATACGCCACAGTTTTTCGTACCTGATGGTAAGGAGTTGAAATGGTGTCGACACTCCATTCCTACCTTGAAGAAAGCACAAAACAAACCGAAGGCTAAAAATACACCGAATCCGAAAAAATCAGGTAAGTCTGATAAGAATTTGGAAAGTAATCAGCCTAAGAAGAAGGATAAACCTACATCCTCGAAGAAAGTCCCGAAAAATAATAACCAGGAGGAGAAACACCC